CTCCAATTAGGAACAGGAACCATGCCGGGATGAATCAGGACAGGAGCATAAGCAGCACTATGCAAATATGAAGCAGGTAATAATGGAGGCCTTGTGGCCCTAAAGTTAGCAGTGGTTGCACCACTATAGTGCTCCGTGGAAGGTGGTGGTCCTGGAAGAGACTGCACGGTAGGATAAAATGGACGTGCAGTTGCTGGGGGGTGGCCTGGTGATATACCAGGTGGTTGAGGATGATGGTATTTACATGTTAAACCATATTTGCAGTGCCCCATTTTCAAATAGTAAGAGCATTCTTTTTCCTCCTGTTATCATTCCACATTTAATATAATTACAGAAACAACAAATAATGAGACACAAAAAGGTGTGACAAACTAAATAAATCATCTCACCGGTCTCAACGGGTATCCATTAATATTAAGTGGGACGTTAATCAAGGATCCAGCAGCATTTCTTGGGTGGTGGAATTTGCACGAAGCACCGAATTTACAGGTTCCAGTTCTTAAATAGAACTGCATGTTACGAAACTGTTGAATCAATATACGAAAAAATCGTGTATATGTGACTAAAACATTCATGGATTCCTAACATGTGACTAGAAAATTGAAGCATGCATCCATATGAATGTCATAAGTGCAGTGAAGTTAAAATAGTAACCCGAAAGCAGTTGGGTGGGGCTATTTAGTCAAATTTCAGGAAACATCACCTCTTTTGGTTGTAGTAATTTTCTCATCAATAAAGAGTGAAAATAAAAAAAAAAACTGCATGTGAGATATCAACCATGAGCAAGACGATCTAAATTGCTTCACCTGACAAGTAAGCTCCCCAGGTCGCTCAGGATATACCCCTGCTCCAAACTGTGCTGCCCCAACCTTCCCAACAGAACAGTTCGAAGACCAAATATATATTAGTCAAGTCACAATAACCGAAATAGATGGTTTAACATCAACAGTTCAGCAGCAAACATATGATTGGCATGAAATTCCCTGACTATTTTAAGGAAAAACTCAATGTCAAGGGGAAATTTCAATTAGGACCATTATCACAATGGGGGCTTTGAGAATAAGAGCAAAAATAACAGTTCAACATCTGCATGCTACTAAAACCTAGCGAATAGAGGGAGGGAGGTCTTACAGAGCCACGATCACGAGGGTGATTGAACCGACACTTGGAACCATAGCCGCAAACGCCGGTTCGCATGTAGTAAGAGCAGAGCGGCGCGCCGGGCCTTTCCGGGTACCTTTCTCTGCCCCATATCCCCAGCCTCTGCATTGATTCTGCAATGACAACCCCATAAGAAGAAAATATTCGCCAAAACGAAAACGAAAGACAGAGAAATTCCTCAATGCGGACAGAAAAAAACCAAAATGACCCGAAATCGAAGCTGAAGCCCACCTTCAAGATCCGTTTCTGACCCAGGCGGAGCCCATTCCGCGCCCGTATCCGGATGCGACCCGTTTCTGATATTGCTCCGTCCGTACACCTCCATAGTTGTTCTAGGTTTTTTCTGTTGAGGCAGCTTCTTCAGGCCGAAATCCAAAGGAGAAGAGATGAATTAGGCGTCAAACAAACACTGCTTCTGATCGTTCATACACCTCCAAAGTTTATACGTATTGCTTCTTCTATACAAAAATACGGCTTGCCACAGTAGAATAGAGAGAATGCTTTATTTATCTCTCTCTCTATACTAGAGCCCAACACTGTCCGTACAGTCCCTTTTGTAAGCAAGCTGTTCCTTAAACGAGTCGAGCTCTCCTTGTAATAAGAGTTACCATGTTATAATATGCGGCGTATGTCTCAATTTTGTAGAACAAAATATGCGTAGTATGTGGCAAATAATTTAACATAAACTCCGCTGGTAAAGACTTGATTGAATTGATTCATATGGTATTGAGAAGTTGAAAACTTGATTTATGAAGAGAATATTACCGGCTAAAAAAGTTTGAAAATTCCAAAATAGGACTGACATGTTTTTATTCTCAAAGTATGACTAATTACTGTCATGTTTTAGCAATACCAGACTTCAAACATGGCAGTATTTTCCAAACTTGACAGTAATTACTCCTACTTTGGGAATAAAAAAAACATGACAATTTATACTGTACACGCGGGTGTACGTGTAGGAACCGATAAAAGTAAGAACCGAACCGTTCACTATTGGTTCGATTCCATAACGGTTCTTGAATTTTTGGATAGGAACCGAACCGACTTGATTAGTTATTTTTTGTAACGGTTCCACTAATTTCATATAGAAACCAAACAGACTTGATTAGCTAAATTTTTTATAACGGTTCCACTAATTTCATATAGGAACCGAACCGGTCTCAGCCCCAGTTTTAGAGAGCAAGTCGTTTTGCTCTGAAGTTGTGAAGGTGAGTGAGAACTGAAGTGTATGTTGGGAGGAGAATATAAAAGGTGACACAAGATGTATCCTAGTTCAGAGGTGGTGTAATCCTCCTACATCCAGTCCCAATCTATTTCAAATGGATTTCCGCTAAATGAATATCTCATTACATTTAGTGCCCAATCTACCCTTGGCCCAGGCGGAGATTGTGAGGTTTTTTCATGAGGAATTTGAACAACATTCTAAGCTACTCAGTCATCCCAAGGTTTTCACTAATATCATTTACTTGTCAAGAGCTACTCATGTTCTTGCCCTTTCTCACCTTCTAGATTTGAGCACAAAGTCCTCCAGAATGTCTAACACTAGTCAAGTTTAAATGGGTGATAACTAAACTACCATCTAATCTAGTGTTGTATGTGGAAATTTGAAGAACTCAAGTCATGTATGGAGATGATACATAAGGGGGCATTAACGGAACAATATTTTTTATCCAGTTTCGTAAGTGGGATCAATGAGGAATTAAAAGCTTTTGTGAAGATGTTTACCCATCAACTATAGACCCAACGATTGAATTGGTTAAAAACCAATTGTTGACTATTGATTCTCTATCTAAGAAAATAAAAATGAGAGGGAAACTATTGTGTGGTATTAATCTTAGTGCAAAAAAAAAAAACAGACAACTTTTACCCTAGCCTCACCCAACCAAAGACCAATTCTACCACATCACAATCTCCTTTTAGGTTTCTCACCCAAACTGAAATGGCAACAAAAAGGGAGAAAAGGTTATGTTTCAGCTGCGATGAGAAATTCTCACCCGGACGTAGGTGTAAACAGAGACAAGTGTTTGTTCAAATAACAAAAGATGATCCGGCCTCGGAAGAAGACAATCAAGGTGAACAATCCAATGAGGATACTCATGAAGACACAATGGAATAAGTTCTACTAACCTTAGACACCACAACCTGCAAAAAGGGGCCTACAACCATGACTTTTAAGGGAAAATCTTGAAAACAAAATTTACATATATTTATTGATTCTGGGGCATCCCTTGGCTTCATGAGTAGATCTTCTGCCCAAAAGCTAGGTTGTGAGGTGGTGGAAGCCACTCCCCTGAGGATGACTGTTGCAGGAGGTCACAAATTGGTTAGCACCACTCGAGTTAATCAATTCTGATGGAATATGAAGAAACATACATTCAACGTAACTATTAATGAAGGATACTTGATTCCACCGAATTTGATCTAATTATAGGTAGAGATGGTTGGGGGAAGTGACCCCAATCCAGTTTGATTATAAAAGGATGAGTGTGACAGTCACACATGAGGGAAAGAGGATTGAAATACAGTGTGAGGAGAAATGCCCCATCATCACCTACCATGCCCTTTATAAAATGTTATATGAGGAGAAACCTTGTCGAGTTGAAGAAGTTTACTGTATTAAGATAAAGGAGACATACTCTGACACCCAACCCGAGTAAGATGAACTCTTGAAGTTTTGAGGGGGGTGGGGGTAAAGCAAACCAAGCCTTCACGGAGTTCAAGGCTACCATGACAACCACCCTAGTTCTAACCCTACCACATTTATTCAAGCCATTCATCATTGAGACTGATGCATGTGGGGAAGGCATTGGGGCAGTATTGATGCAAGGCGACAGACCTATTGAATTTCTGAGCAAGAAATTATTCCCTAACGAAGCAACTAGGATTCTCCATCTATGAAAAGGAATTTTTTGTTGTGCTTATGGCCATTCAAAAATGCAAAGATGTTACCTGCGAGGAAATAAGTTTATAAATAAAACTGATCAACAAGCTTTGAAATTTCTATTAGATAAGAAAATCACCACTCCACTGCAATAAAAATGTCATCATTTAGTTGCGCCTATGCATTGAAATAAAATTGTTACTATTTCTTGAGATTATATTTCGCGATTCAATTTGAGCTTAAATTAAGTGGCCTCAAATTTTCAAGCTAGAGCTCAATCTAGATTTCTATGCTTAGTTGGAGCATGGCATGCATCAAGGACTGAACCTATCACTTGGGGGTTGTAGATCAAATTGGATAGTTAGAGGACACACATTACTCGTACCAAACATAGAAACTAAAATATGCATTAGATGACATTCAGATTGGGATCGGAGCACTATTAATCGCCACAACCGTATGACGTGGCCCGTTGGTGTGAGAGATCGGCACTTTATGATTGTGTATGTGGGTGATCAGATTATATAAGTCCGTTTTCAATTTAAAAAAATACACACTTCTTGAAAAATAATGATAATAAATTAATAATATGGCTCAACTTGTCACTCAAGTTCATAGTTCGAATCTGGCAGACGTACGCTTTAAAAGGTCTTTAAACAGATAACTCAAGTTTGTAGTTCGAATCCGCCAGACGTACGTTTTAAAATCTTTTAACAGATGACTCGCCCATCGAGTTTGAATTTTGATGCTATGTTATTGATACTTCAATTTGTATTTTTTTTAATCAAATATTTTCACGTATTAATTGTATGGAGATAAATTTGGAGTACCCTAGCTTTTTGATTGAGCTGAAATAAGGGCCCGTGTAGAAATCAGATCCACTATTAAGGAGGCCCACCAATAATTTTGACCAATTTGACCTAGCTCATGATAATCGACTGCCAAAGCTTTGCCCCCCTTTCACGTTTGGAAAGTGGACAACCTTGTTTGCGTCTAAGTAGCATGATGCCACTATAGCTCGTCTAAAGGAGTAGTCCAGCAGCTACCGAGGGGACGACACAACCCTATCAAGCAATATTGGCGGCAAAGCTTCCTCCGGTGGACCCAACAACAGAGCAAAAACGACTGGAGCAAGCTCGCTAGGACTCCGACAGCACCGACGAAGCTTCCTCAGGGAACCTCTAATACACTCTTCAAGCTGAGTCAGCAAGGGGGTTCCGACTTGTTACTCTTGGAGCTCTTAGCGGGCAATGATGGTGGATACTTAAGATCAAGCTCCAGAAATTGAGTCAAATGACTTAGAAGATGGCAACGTGGCCCCAGTTGCGACCTTCGAGGTGCTTTAAGAAATTCACCCTAATCATTCGTAGTGATCCACATGCCCAATTCCTATATTTATATTAACTGTCGCGTCAACATTGACCTTGACATATCATGGGGTCCTAGAGATTCATACCATGAATTATCTGGGAACCTAGAAGCTGAGCAAGACGGTTATATTTTTTTTTTAGAGAGAACACATTCACCCAAAATGTTGAAGGGTTCTGATGCTACTAACGAGACTCACCTGGTAGAATGTTCCGGTGTGGTGAAAGTGAAATCTAAAGCTTCTGAAGTTGAGAAGCCATTTGCCTTGACAGAGCACCATAGCTCAGACCCAAACATGAAAATAATCAATGTGATTGAGCCCAACCCTACTTCTGCTCCAATGGCTGAGGCTCCACTAGTCCAAGAAGATTGGGTTATGTGTGATAAGTGTCAAAAGTGGCATCTACTTCCACTTGGAACAGATCCTAAAAGTTTCCCGAAGAATTGGCTTTGTAAAATGCTTGACTGGCTGTAAGTTCTTTTGTGCAATGCATATAATATGACTTGATCAGTATGGTAGACCTTTATTATAAGTAATAAGAATACACATGACTTTACCATAGAATAATTATATGAGGACAATTTCAACTTATGAAGTAAGTTGGAACCATCTGATCTCATATTCCTGTGAAAGTTTACGATGATTAAATTCATCAAAAACTATTTTTTTAAGTTTCATAGATTCCTTTCACTAAAGTGATTAGTCTTACCTTTTATAGGTCGGGTCTTAACCGCTGTAGTATTAGCTAGGACGAGACAACGACGGCTTCAAGAGCTTTATACCAGTTTTCTGCTGCTGTCATTACTACGCCTGCTTCCGAGGCACAGACAAAAAATCAGAATGAACATCATCATAGGAACCTCGTAGGATTTTCTACAGCTGATGTTTTTCATTCAGATGTGGAGAACAGAAATCACAGTTTACAAATTGCAGATGCTAGTGGTAAGAAGAAACAGGGATCCAAAGATTCTTTAGATGAAAGCAAACAATCAGGCATGATGCAGTCTTCAAGCAAAACTAATAACCTTACTGAAACTGCGAATGGGGGTTTAAATGATAGTGTCCACTCCTCTGCAGGTGAAAATGGGCATAAAAAGTATTACAGACATTCAAGTACCCCAGTTGTAGAGAAGCAAAACAATAATCTGAAAGTGAGAAAACTGTTGCTTGACAGCAGGACTTCTGATGGAGGTATATCTTTTGAAGTGTTCATGTTTAGTTCTTTTTGAAAATCATTAATCTCCATTTATGTGGTTAATATGACCTCTTAATCAACATCTCATGTTTACATGTGAAAATAATGTGAAGACAAAGAACAAGTCAGAGACTGATTTGGTTAATTCCATAACCTCTAAGAAGGTGAAAAGAGATGGCTTATATGACGATAATGAAAAGTGGACCGCTGGCAAGGCCTGGGGTAATGCAGAACCTAGCTCAAGCGCTGGTATGGTTCAGGCTGTGTCACTGATGGATCAGCACAAGTACAAATGTAGAAATTCAAAAACTTCAGATAAAAACCTCCAGGTTCGTAATCCAGTAAATTCAAGTGATGAATCACTGCATGTGAGCAATTCCTACAGTAAGGACTCTTCGAAGAAGAGGAAAAGTAATGGGAATCCAGTTAATTGAGGTGATGGATCACTGCATGCAGGCAAGTATGGAAGTAGGGGGGATACTTCTAAGAAGAGGAAAGGGAATGGGCTTCATCGTTCAGAGACCTACAGTAAGCCTGTTCCTGTTATACCCGCAGAAACTTGTGAAAACAGCCAAGGGAAAGGCAAGGCATTAAAGGATTTCAACACTGAGGTAAAACTTCTTGTTGGAAACAGATTCAATGAAGGAAAAGATGAAAGGGACAGCAATAACGGCCAACAAATAGCGCAGTACCAAGCCACTACAAAAAGGCATTTAGGCACACAGCAGCCTTCCACAACTTCCACTTCAAGCTCTTCTAAAGTTTCTGTCTCACGAATGAACAAAATTAATCTCTCGGAACTGAGGTCTTTCCGTGTAGATTCAGTGTCTTCATCTCCTTTGAGAATTCCTGGGGTAGTTGGAGCAAATGGCGGGGGCAGTTATATGTCTGGGATGGTTATGAAGGATGGAACTTGGAATGATGTTCATAATAGATCCCTTGATCATCAGGAGGTGCCTTTGGGTCATATACCAAGTTTTAAAGTGAACCCAGGTACTGTTATTGTAGCAGAGGATGAAAATAAAGTTGTAGGAACTTTGCCTCCATGCAACCAGAATGCTTTTAGAGCACAAATATTGGAGCAGGGTGAAGGCGGGGGATGGAGTTGTGATCTTTTGAATGATAATAGTGTACCCACCGAGAAGATGTTCGGGAAGGGTTCATCTTCTAAACCTAAAGACAAGGTTAGGAGTTACAAAAATGATCTTGATAGATTGAGTGATATTGATTCTTTAGATGAAAAGCCCTATTCTAGAGAAAAATTAAAGGCTGGGAAAAATAAATTTCCAGATAGATCTGGTAATCATTCAGATAACACTTTGGCTACAGATCATAGTGATACATTCTTGAATGAGAGTGTTAAAGAAGAAATTCACTTAAAGCATGCTGACAATAATGGTAGGAATGTCAAGGCAGACACCATTTTTGGGCTAGATAAGGGGCATGTTTTAGTTCCAAAAAGAGGAGATGAATCCTATAAGAATTATATTTCCGGCAGAACTAATGGACTTCCTACATCTGGAAAAGGGAAATCGCTACAGCCATTACCAACATTTCAACAGTCAATTCTTGGGTTACAAAAGGAAGATGCAAATTTGTTGGCAGTAGATGAATTTGAAAATGATGCTTCAAAGGCTAGGGATGGTAATAAATTTCAGAGCCACAGTAGGGACCAACCTAATGCTTCAAGACACTCTACCTCAATTCTTAACAAGGCCCATGTTGATGATGCTTCCTCTCTAGCGCAAAAGGATTCCTCCAATCAAGCTACTGCAAGTGCTGTAATAGAAGCGAAAAAACTTAAACATGTGGCTGATCGTCTCCAGGTCAATAAAGTTGTTAGTCATTTCCGTAATTGTGAAAAAATGAGACAGGAAATTATTCTATTCTTCAAATGAGTGCCACAATTATATTATCAATGTAGTCCTAACATGTGTCTATTTGCTCTCCAGAGTTCTGGATCAAGTGACAGCATAGGATTTTATTTCCAGTCCGCCTTAAAGTTTCTCACAGCAGCATCTTTATACGATTCATGCAACGTTGATAGTAAGAAGCAGATCGAAAAGGCTAAGTCGGTGCAAATTTATAGTGACACTACAAAACTCTGCAAGTTAGTATATGCTCAAAGTTACTTGCAATTTTCCATTATGGATATCATATGCTCATTTTCTTACCATGTAAAGAATGATACCAATAAGAATGGTAAAAGATAACATATGCTTCTCTCATTGTCTTATAAACAGATTTTGTACTCAAGAATATGAAAGATCCAATGATATGGCTGGTGCTGCTCTTGCCTACAAATGCATGGAGGCCGCATACACGCACGTAATTTATCACTCACATTCCATTGCAGATAGATATGGAACTGAACTACAGAAAGCTCTGTGTTCTCCCCCAGGTGAACAGGAAACAAAATCACTTTTATAGTAGAGGCTACTTGATTATTGAAAGTGTTCTTTTTGTATATAAGTTACAGGAGTTACAGGCTTGCTTAAATCACCAATTTTTTGTTTATGGGTCTCTAATGTACTTAAAAATTCAATCATAAATATGTGGGAAAACTGGAAAATAAGCCCCCATACTACATCAAAACAGAAATTAAGTCCTCGTACTCTAAGATCACCCAATCAACCCCTCAAAGTTATAAAAAATAAATCAGCGCATTAAAAGCTCACCTTCAGGTTTCCTGGATTCCGGCTTACCTGGATGTCCATGTGGCACTGTTCTTAATAATATTTGTAATTTTATTAAAAAAATCAATCTAACCTCTCTTTTCTTTCATAGCTCACGCTCATCCTCTCATCTTCTTAAGCAACCATCACCTCAATCTTCTTCTGTAGTATGCAAGTCCCTAGTCTGCTCAAACAGTTGCTCTCTCTCTCTCTCTCTCTCTCTCTGTATATACCATTTTTAGCATCGTTTCTTAGATACAGAAGTTGCTCTTTTGATGGATCTGGGAAATGATAGTTGAAGCTTCATTTCTTGGGAGTCGTGGGACTTGTGACTTGAGTAACTTTAAAAAAATCTGCCAGAAATTAAGATTAAGTAGAAGGATCCTTCATGAATCAACATCAGAGGGACCAAATTTTTTAACGTATTTGAGTCCGATCTTTTACTAATCCAACAAGAAATTCAGAAAAATTGAAGTCTAAGTGACAAAATGAAGGGGACGAGTGAATGAAGAATCCAGTAGAAAGAGCTGAAAATCCCAAGGAAAAGGCATCTAAGTTAGGAAGATAGTGAAATTATCATTCTTAATTAGATGTGAAACTTCGAACTATGTTATTTAATTTACAGAAATTTGATAGCTTGAAAGTTGTATCTTCAATGGGAGTTTCAAAATCTTCAGAACTAAACATAGAACAAGAAAAGAAGACATCAAAACCATTTTTAAAAAACCAAGTGCAAAGAAAACAAAAGAGAATATTGAAGAACAAAAATACAGCTAAAAGAAAGGATCACGGAACCCAGAAGAAAAGGCAAGAGAAAAAAGGAAGGAAAAGGAATTTGAAAAGGGAAAGAAAGAGGAGGATGTTGAAAATACACTGTGTAGTGGCGAGTAAAAAATAAAATAAAATTTAATAAGAAAAGCTGACATGGCAGGCACACAATCAAGGTAACCGGGAAACAGGCATGTGACCTAAATTATCAATTTGAGCTTTTTTTTAAGTTCTTGTGCTTGTTTGAGTGAATATTGAGTGTGAGGGTCAAATTGACTTTTTCATAATACTATGAGGGCCTATCTGACAGTTTTCCCTAGCTATATATTCCACTTTAAGTGAAATGACTTCTCTTATATGTATAGGTTGGTAACCATTTAAACTTCATTTAGATTGGTTTTTGTAAAAGTGTAAAATCCAAAGTGGTGAATAAAATTGTGAATGTACATGGGTTTCCTTAATATTTTAGTAAGCTAAGTATGGTGAATAAAATTGTGTGTCTGTGTGTGTCTGTGTGGGGGGGGTCCCATGCACTTGATACCATGTAATTTAGTAGTACAAGTACTTGATCATGTTCCAACTACACAACAAGATTGCCAAGATGAGTATTTTACACTATCTACCAACTTGGTTTTTTTTTTTTTGCTTTTCTTGTTATCCATTTTAAAGTGTCTTATGATATTTATCATTGCATCCTAGGTCAATCCCCTTCCTATATTGACAATTTGAACAATCCATCAGCTGTAGACAAGGGTGGCTTAGCCAAAAATGTTAGCCCTCCTCAAGTGGATGGAGATCATACTGTGATGACTAGAAACCGTTCCAATATCACCAATATCACACGGTTAATGAAGTTTGTAAGTATTCAGTATTCAACTCAGTAGAAATCAGCTTACTGAAACCAGTTGTATCAACAGAGATCTTGTCTGGGAAGAAATAAAAGTGGATTATAATGACATTGGAAATGTAAGAAACATAGTGGTTTTTATTTTCACATATGTATCTGGGATTAGGCTAGGATTTGTTGGTAAATGCGGATGAATATGGTTTTCATAATAACTAGTCCAACATGGTGTATTCAACAGTACACTAGTTACCACTTAAATTGTGGTCATTCCAGCAATACCCACTTCTTTCAATGTTTATCTCATTTGACCTCATTTAAATGTCAAATCTAACAACAATTGTCTAAAATACCATCTCTTAAAAGTCAACTATTTTTGTTCATCATAAAAAGCCATCACTCATTATTCCTCTGCTTCTCGCTACTCCGAATGAAATTTCTTCCGCGAGTAGAAAAGGCTGAGGAATGATGTGCTGTAATAGTGGTTTAGAATGATGAAGGTAGTGTTTTGACTTACAAGATCTTTTAGATAATTTCCATTAAATTTGATAGTTAAATAAGATAAGTATTAATGGAACGGGGAGTTGCAAGAAAAGCAAAACCTCCTGGGACTGGGGTAACTAATTGACTTTTAAAATACAAGGTTGGAATGTTGGATTAATAATTATGACCTAATCTCAAGTGCAGCAGAATTTTTTGCATACAGTTACAGTAGTTTTTGAATTTTGATAATGAAAGTAGTAGTATCACTATAACTAGTATCCATTAATCTTATATATTGCATTTTTACTCCCTCTTGTAAATCAGTCATTTTAGCCAATTATTTTGTCCCAAAATAGTTGGCGTTTTATGGATTCAAACCATATTTTTTTGCTAATCTTCCACATTTGTCCAAAACTACATACTAGTATTATTTTTTGCTTCATTAAATGCTTTGGTATCTTAGAAATAAATAAAAATGCCTTAATTTACAAGTTAATGAGGATAGAAGAAGCTTCCTTACTATGTGTGCACTTTCCTACAATCTCAATCAGTTTGGGACGAAAGGAGTAAATATTTTCTCCATTTTAACTCACAGACTGAAGATGTTAATCTTGCAATGGAAGCTTCAAAGAATTCAAGGGCTGCTTTTGCAACTCCAAATTCGAGAATAGGAGACGAGATGAGCAAAGATGGTATTTCATATGTTAAAAGGGCAATTGATTTCAGTTTCCAGGATATGGATGGATTATTGCGCCTAGTTTGTGTTGCAATGGAAGAAATCAACCGCTAAAGGGTCGAAGTGAGAATAGCAAGGGTATTTTTCATCTACTGTCAATTGAGGAAGAGGAAATCATTGGATTGCAACTGTCTTTGCAGTACACATCTGAACAGTAATAGCCGCACATTGAGTGTTACTGTGCACTTTTTAAGGCATCTGTGGCTCCTTCCCAACTTGAATAAGGATCCTGACAGGAGTAAATATCAGCATTGCAAAAAACTGATCCCACTAACTTTCAGCTCCTACAGCCACTATGTAGCAGGCATCAGTATGCGGTAACTTGATATAACATTTCTGGGAAAGACCCTTTAGATTTACATCATTAAATGGGATCCTCTGGACAAAAAAGTCATGGATGCAATGCTTGCAATGATGGTAGAACTGTTGGAGTAGGTTGTAGGTTATTATATCAGATCCAGTCAAGGAGGAGATACCACAAGCAAGATTGAGTGAGATTTCTTCTGAGTTCTGACAGAGTAAGGATCAACCTCGTGTTTATGGCAGGTCTCGCTTTTTTTTCAGCAAGGAGAATTTGTTCCCAACTTCACACTGCTACCGAATTTTGTGAGTATTTATAGAATTCAAACCTATACAGCATTTTTTTTTAAATTTAAATAAAACAAGTGGTTAACTTATTTAATGAATGTGTTATTACAAAGATTGTAATGCCTGCCATCATCGAATGTGTTGTGTTTCCACATTAGTTGTCCTCAGAGTTTGAGGTTAGTATGTGAGCCTGAGTAAATTTCACCTTATGTAGGTCTGTGTGGGGCGAGATAATCCTATTTATATGGTGTTTGGTCCACTTGTTGATGTTGTACGTCCCATTCGATGGTTTGGGGCGTCTGGTTTAGGTGGTCAGTTTAGACCCATTTGTCCACCATCCAGTTATCCATCCCGGACTGAGGTGAGTGTTTCGAATATCTTGCATTGTAAAGATCATTTTGGGGCAAGATAGGCTTTATCTAATGTACTTTGTATAAACTAAGTTTGTTTTTAGCTGCGACTTATTTGGTTTGGCACTTTTATTCATTCTTATTGGAACTTGAGAATCATATTTTCGTTTGACACATTTATTTTTCTCACAAAATATGTTTTCTTGCAGGCACCTGAAGTTTGTTTATGCAATGGTAACTTCACAGAAACCAAGGTGACAGTAAATAATATTGTGAAGAGTAGATGTCTGTAACATCTATTTATGATATTATAGAATCCGTTGCAGACAAGCTTGCTAACATCTACGGAGTATTTCTGATTGATTAAAAATTTCTTCATAATTAATAGTCCAAGCTCTTTATTCATTTTTCCTTCTTCTTTTTTGTATATATGTGACATTTTTTACTTGCCAAATGCAAAAACCCTGCCCGTCTTTTAGTTTATCTAGAATGCATTTGTAAGTATATAATTCTACACATTCTTTGTAATGAATAAAATGATTTTTCCGAATGTGATAGATTAAAACGATCTGTTGCTGTCTTGTCAAATTCCCATTTATTGTCACTTTCTTCTTCAGCATAAATTACTGCGGCAACATAATTTGCTCAATTGTTACATTCATAGATAAGTGGTGGTAGAATCTAGCAGTGTCTTGGTTATAAAAACTTACAGGTCAAAAAACTAAACATTATTATATTCAAAAGTTACAACTTACAAGTGTCATAAAGTCATTAACCTACCTGTGAGTATAATTATCAAGGAATTATAGGAATTCTTCTGTGTTGAGATTGTTGGCTAAGAGCATCTTTAATGGGGAAGTGGATTGCACTCCATAAAATGCGCAGATTATATCGTGGGATCGGCCCACCATGCGCATGGTGTGCCGATCCCAAACGGTGTCGTTTCTATTAATAAAAGTCTCTCGCCTTCTTCTGACTCGCAAGTCGCAAGGCCGTACCCTATCCAATTCCGATTCAGAGCGAAATCATTCACTTAGATGGCTTCTCCTCTCCCTTCCAATCCTGGCCATCGCTAACCACTTAGCCGTGACTTAGGATGCAGACCAGCAGTTCTCAGAATCTCAGGCCTCAGCTTACCACCGAAGAGCAGCTCTCACGCCTCTTAGTTTACCATGGAAGAGCAATTAGAGCAGAAAGCCAGAAACGAAAACACTCTTTACCGCCGTGCGCCGTCCGAGTGCTGCAAGCAACCAGGAAGGCAGCGACTGACCGGGAACTCCAACGATGTTTCCACCATCAGCGCCGAAGAAGAGCTCCATTCCGGTCACCTCTATTTTGCTCGCCCGTTCCAAGTTCTCTGATTTGTAGTTCTCTTTTTGTGAAGAATGCTCTGTAGTTCTCTTCTTTTGGGCAGTGCTAGTTTTATTCAAAAGTAGATTTGAGTTAAGAATTGAAGTTACAGAGTACATTTTTGTTCACAAGATTTACATTTTGATTTGGTTCAACTTACATGTTCATTAACTTAATTTACATTTGCATTTATCTCAACTTACATGTATCTTAATCAGGAGTATTATGCACATGTTACATCTTAATGTACGCAAGTTACATCTTTATATACGTGAGTTACATCTTAATGTATGTGAGTTACACCACAGAATAAACTCCCACTATATAATTTTTATAGCCCTAATATTAAAAATAAAGCATATTCATGGTTTACCTAAAGCAATTGTGCAATTGGACTCTCCTTTTTCATTGTTTGAATTGAAATCAATTTAAACTATGTATTTGACAAGTTACATTTTGAATAAACTTGAGTTACATTGATCAATAACATGAGTTACATTATTTTACACGCGAGTTACATCATTAATGTTACTGGGACAAAAAGGGAAAAAAGTCACTATTCACGCGTTACTGTTCACGGGTTACTGTTCATGTGTTACTGTTCATCCGATTTTTTTTAAAATGTGCAAAATGACGTCGTGTTGGATGTGGAGCACGGTGCTCACCGTGAGATGATTCCACGGTATACGCACTCCATAAAATGTGGACATGTCACTTATATAGACGGTCTATAGAAGTGACGTGGACGTGCATACGGTTAAAATAGAATTTGCACTCCAATGCAATAATGCATTTACGCTACAATGCAGTTGAAATAAAATACTCCGTAAAAAACATCCTCAAGGAACTATGGATTATTTTCCTCTCCCCTTTGATAATATGTAAATAGACGTAATTATTTTCCTACCACAAAAACAACGTAACTGCAAGTTAATTAAAACCGGACTCCAATTTGAAGCTTCAATTTTTGAAGAAACCCCAGGTAATTATCGGATTGATAATCCGCATGTTATTTTCCTACCTTGAAAGCTTCAAGGTTTGAAGAGCCGGACTCTAGTGATGAGTACCGCCATTCCAAGATCAGAAATCAAGTCGGCAGTTGCCTCTCCAACCTGTGTTCATGAATCGACTAGATGTCGTTCCACCGCTGCTCCCAGGTGTTCACCACCAAGCCTCTTCCTTCTCTGTGCGCCGGTCGCCATAGCCGTCCGCCGTTTCTGTAGCTACAGCTCTGCCGACCCTCGCCCCTCACATGTTTGCATTTTTATATATAGCCCTACACCGTTACCAGTATATACTGCGTGTGAAACTGGAACAACCGCGGGTTTAATATCCTTTTCATATAATTCATCCAATTAATTAAACACATATATACATTCTAATTTGTGTTCACCCATAGTTCACGGAGATGTGGAGGAACCCATAAATTAATTAATTGTTGAGTCAGAGTGTGAGAAAGTCTTGCTGAAAATCCACAGAGCAGTAGAAGGCGTGGGTTTTTTCTCATTCCAGCTCATCAACGCATGGTGTATTCACTGTTCCGTTGGAGATGTTTTTTTTTTTACTTCCCTTCATTTTCTATTACGTGGCTATGCATTTTGGAGAATAGACAAGCCCATTAAAGATGCTCTAAGAATCTGAGATTGGAAGGTAAGCACGATGAATACTTTTTGTGATTCTTTCCCACATATTAGAAGGTAAATTAGTTTTTACCAAACTAATTTTTTCCCACGAGGAATTACCACTTGTTTTTCACGTTTGTCAATGCATAACTTTGAACATTAATATATCTAATTCTCTATTAGTAAAAAGTTTGAAAATTCATATTTAGAAAATTTGTGCAAGACAAATCTAATACGGAGTAATGTTTTTCGAAAATTAATTCAATAAATACATTAGCAAATAAAATATGGTCAAAGTAGAAAATGTGAATATCGTAAATTCATGTTATAATTATTTAAGAACATGTATTAGTATCTATTTACATATATGTATGTGCATCCATAAATGCATGTGTGTTGACGTGTTGTACATAAATACGCACAAACATCAGTGGCACATCAAGAATGGGCGTACAAATTTGCCTTGTCTTGACCGGGTACCATGAACTGTTATAACTTGACCAATGGCTTGTTTTGTGTTTTACGGAGTATACAGGATGTTTTTATTTGTCCTAGACCAGATCAGAACAAACCGGACCAGATCACACTAGCAAGTAGAAACATCCATAATATCCATAAATTCAAAAAGGTCTCAAATGAATGAATATCAAGACAAACTTACGATAGGCTTCCAAAAGAGCATTGTAGCAAGATGCAGGAACCGGAGATAATGATAACTCCCAGATGATATACCAACGGAAAATTTTAGTATTGAAAATAAAATACTAGAAAAGAATGACAATGACAGAATGTACAAAATAAACTTTTACACCTCTCATAGAAGTAGCTACCTTCAATGTAGGATTTAGAAATACATTCCCCCTGATCATTCATGAACATTTAGGTGCATTAGCCACAGCCAGTGGCGGACCAAGCATGGGGGCAAATGGGGTTGTTGTCCCCCCAAAAGTTTATTTCTCTAGGTATATTTACCCTGAAATTTTAATATATATTTATTTGTATGTATATTTTTACTCTGCCGCCCCTCATAGCGTGAATTTCTGCGTCCGCCGCTGGCCACAGCTTCTTCCAATGCAACTTTCCACCCAAACAAGTATTCCCATGTTTCAGGCTAACATATTGAAACTCAAATACATGTTTGAATCCAACTCTTCTCTATATGAATAACATACAGAAGAGTTGGATTCAAACATGTGTATTAACTACATAAACTATACCGTAAATCGCAAGCAGAAGAAGAAATGCTCATAACATTGACATGAGACAAAGAATACATGATTACATCGTAGATGATGAGATTGAAGAGATTTTTTTTATTTCCTCTTTCGGGTGATAAGTTAATAACACAAAATCCTATTTCCATGGATTCCAGCATAACAACATAAATCCCAGACAGGGTCGGACCGTGGTAGAGACCCAGGAGAGCTACCACCCTCCCAACAATTTTTTTAATGTATATATATACGAAAAATAATTTTCACCCCTAAAAAAGAAACTCGCCCCCAAAGATAAATTTTGTGGGTCCGTCCCTCATCCTAGAGGATATAAATAGCGGTGCACAGCCATCCTTAATCACTATAACTACATTCTGTTTATTGAAGCATGTATCTATTTTTAAAAAATGATGTAATATGTGATAATGCAGACATTGGCACAACGAGAGCTGGTACTGGAAACAGGACCTCAAACAAAAGTTATTAATAATCGAAGGTGTTAAATCTATTACTAGGCACACAAAAAAATCAAAAACAGAAGTGGCAGCCAAACGAAAACGAGAAAGGTATATTCTGTAAATGTGTCATATTTTAATCTTACTCATTGAATGTTATCCTTAAACAATACGTAGTACTTGTATTATCTTTCGTCTTCTTTATTAATTTTAAAAATATAGTACATGAAATCAATTGCTATTTTGTCGTCTTTCAAACTTTATGCATTGTGCTAGTATAATATCACACTAATGTTGCGTGGCTAAAGATGTTATACGTAGTACGAGTATAAGATAACAGATATAATTTCAACATAAACCGACTTATTATTTGCTCCAGAGTAACTATCTACATAGCATAGAAGTGATAGAACTAATCATCTTCTCGTGATCTTTGATAAGAAATTGAGCCACAATCATATGCAAATAAGCGTGTAATAAGAAGAAAAATGGCCTTAAAAAATTAATAAAAGAGCACTTAACGAGAAGAGTAAATTAGCATTTAGCACTGCAAGTCTGCAACCATAAGCAATTTACAAAAACACAACTAGACATATACGTACATACGACTATACGAGTACACAATATAGTATGTGGTGAAACTTTGTAATAATTACAACAACTGAATCCATCAGCAGTAAATACTACAAAGATATTCAGGTAAAGGTATATGTGGAAACTAAATAAAAATTTATTATGTAAATATTATTCGTTTATCATGCAGACCACCCTTACTTATCGGTAATATCCTTGTGCCTTGATGCTTTGCCTAACCCACAGATGATTCGAGTTTCAAGCTCAGCAACTGGTTCACTTCCGCACCAAATTCATCAGGGAGCTCATTGAAAACGTCCCTGCAAAACCCAGATATCATTGCCGCCATGGCCTTTTCATAATCGATTCCCC